TGAGCTAAGTTCGCACTTGGTGCAAATGATGTAACAACAAATATAATCCAATAACTAAACAAATAGGATACGAAAATTAAAACCTGCATATCGGTGGCAAAGATGCAAGCAAGCCATACAGATGTGACTATATTATACATGTGGGGTTGAGAGTGGAAAATGGAGGAGTCTCTCATTGCAGTGAGGTGCAAACTTAACTCAACGGAGTTGTACCTATACATTTTAAGATTTTGTAACATTATTTTTGTAATATGTTACTTTGTACCTCGTGTAGTCACTGAATTTATGATTTGAGAAACAAATAAATGCTTTATTTAATCTATGTATGTATGCCCTGACAAAAAAAAACCTATCAAAAAAATGGAATGCCTATACCTGCAACGTCCATTTCTTCACCACCTGAATCATGGCTGTTATTATTTGTAATTAAGAAATTGGTGATAGGTTTCTGCCACTTTGGAGTTTCTCTGGGACACACTGGATTCCCTCCAGAGTAACTCCTGGACGACTTTTCTCCTCCGCCTAAAATTATAAGTTATTAGCCTTACTCTTGTATTGGAATTCAATGACTATCATTCTGGGATCTGTGTATACTGTATCATAATTAAGTAATTGCTTGAGAGGATATCCGGGCGGTAATTCCATACATATATATTATTGTTTTCTTCCTAGATAGATTGACAAAAATTTAGCAATTATTTTTTATCATATTATAATTGCAAAATTCAGGAAGTCCCATTTCTAGAGCCTTAGTGGATTTGTCCTGCAAAAGATGCGTGTGGGGTGCCCATTGCCCATTTTATTCTATATAACTAGATTTTGGGCAGAAGTATCTAGTAGTGTACATACTATTTGTTTCACTTATTCGAATGAAAATCACAACATCAAAAGATTAATAAATAACTAAAATGTGCAATTAACACAAGTATTCTCATAAATAGAAATAATGATAATGCTTTCAATTGATTCAGAAGAAGACATTTAATACTAAGTCGCAAAATTTGTTTTAATGCAAATTTCTCAACAAAACAGGTCCAATTCTACGATTTGCCTATTTGAACAGCTTTAATGTAGAAATCATTTTATTCTTTCCTGTTTTTAAAACCTTGTTTTTATTTTTTAATATATTTTTTTACACAACTAGAATGTCATCTACATAGTTACAATAAGAACTTCATATGATATTTTTCCATCCTCAAGGGCGGGAATTTTTTTTAAAAATTATACCTCCATATAGTCTAATAAATAAAAATGAAGAACCAACATTGTTGTCAAATCGGTGCACATATGTCTAATATCTACTAACAAATATTCATAACTGCTGATCATGAGGTCTCCGGTTTTAATCCTGGGTCAAGCCAAAAAAAAAATGTGTGAGTTTTTCCATCAAAAAATTCTCAGTGGCACGCTAGAGCCAAGAAGTTGGCAGTGTTTCACCCCCATGCTTCAGAAATTGAGTAAGACATTGGTTCTGCGCCTGATCTCTCTCCAGTCGTGTCGGTTTACTATCCCATAATCCTATGAGAGGAAATAAAGAATACACCTGTGCTTGCACATACACTCGGGTAATATAATCCTGTCGTGCTAGTCTCGGGTAGTTGGCTAGTCTCCGTTGAGAACTGCCACCGTAACCGAAATTAAGTTACAACATTATTACAAACAAAGAAAGAAAGAAATTAAATCCTATTTCTGAAAAAATTCAATTTTTACAGCTTTATCATGCTCTTTTTAGTCAGATCCAGAAAGACTAATTTTGATTGCAATTTTCCCGCAAATCTATGCATAGGGTTGGCAAGCCTAGACCCTTACATAGCGAATATAAATAATATAACAAAAAAATAAACTGGTTGTCCCTGTTTGCCGATTACTTAGCAAGTTAGGGCACAGCGCCAGAGATTAGTCTTTAAAAACTTATTCCTAAATTTCTTGCAGCCTAGATATCCTCGTAATAGCAATGAGTGTTACATATGTGATAAGTAACAACTTCCTTATCAATATTGGTTATGAAATTATAGGAAATTATTATTACCTGTGGAACCTGCACTACTGGGAGGAGGAGCAACACTGCACCTAGCTTTACTGCTTTTGCCTGCAGCCACTGGAAGAAATGTGAACTTATATTTACCAAAAATTAATGTAGCAGAGTCCGTGTAGTTATAAAACAATGTAACACGCTTTCTTACTTTATGTTTAATAATATTGCTTTAAATTTTAAACTCTCCAAACACTTGATTTTAAAGACATGAAAAGTCCGTACCTTTTGCGCCGACTGATGCCTTTGTCCTTGCCATTTGGTTTATAATTTGAACAAATTTCACTCAAGCATCCACTTAATGAGTTAAAATTAATAATCTTTGAAGACCTTGACCGAAACTATTTTATTTTACTTTTACTTACTAAATAAAATAAATAAAGTCTTACTGAAATACTAAAGTTTTTGATATTTCTTATTTTGTTTTCAATGCAGTTAAATGTCACGTCACATTTTGGCGCGTAAAGAAACTAACTTTTTAAATTATTACTTTAAAGACACAGTATAACAATCATTCTGCCACTCAATCGAAAATGCATATCATAGGCTTAATAAAAATATATTTGCTTGTCAAATTAAACATAAAAGTTAAGAATAAGATAGTATTATAAAAACTATTAATGATCATAATAGTTATAAAAAGTACACTGCTAAAAGGTCTCCACCTTAGATTGCATCATATGGGGTATATGTTTTAAGTCGTAAGCAACTGCAGTATTTTTTATTATTTTTAGTCGTTTTAGGAAGATGCTGCTGCACATCTTCGGTTTTGTTTCTCTCTATTGCCTCGCACGACACACACTGGATGATATTATTGAGTATAGAGAAAAAATATTAAGGAATTTCAGTCCCACCGTTCGTTTTTTTAAGTTTTGAGACATTTTAACGCATCGTATGCCGTATCAGTCACAAAGTACTTTTTGTATAGTGTAACTATATTTGCTACGTTTAAGAAAGTAGGGGTAGTGGTTAAGATAGTTGATATAATCCGCGAGTTGTAAACATGTGACATCACGAAATATATTATATAACATCATCTAGACTAGCTAAAAATGTTGCAAAAGGTTAAATCGTTTAACAAAATCTTTAAATGGTGTACGATATAATATAAAGTCACGCCATTAGACTGTGTGAGTGTGATAATAACCTAACGCTTTTTGAGGCACGTTTCCTATACAGATAAAGAGTCACGTTGCATCGAAATGTAGGTTGAAACTCTCCTTGAGAGCGAGCCGAGCAGCTGAGTCTGGTAAATTTATACACGAATAAGGCATATCTTGCAGGGCTTTCGTTAACTTGATAATTGTATTTCTACTAATTGTCAAGAGTACTATATAATAATAAGAAACTGCATAACTTATAATATTAATAAAAATGTCATAATAATGATTAAAATATTCATAAATCCCTAAGTTAAAAGAACTCTGTCCACACAGATAATAATCAATAAAAGTTAAAAGGAGTCAATCCATTTTGTTCTCACGCCTTTTTCGCTCATTAGACGCTTGAATAGAACAAAGCAGTCGGATTGCAGCTCAATGATCCCGAAGTTTGTTTAAAACGAAAAAAGTAGAAACATGAAATCAATGATTTATATATATTTATATATATACACTAGATCAGTAATAACCGCGCCAAAGCGTTCCCACTGCACATATGGCCACAGCCATATGCCTAGCTAATGTCAGTTCAGTGTTCAATGTGACGCCGACAGAGTTGAGCCGCGACAAAGAATGGGTAAATACGTAGTGAAAGAATGCTATTCAAGGTCACAAAATGTAATAAATCAACTTTCAACACATAATTTTTAGTTCTTGTTTTCATATAAACGTAAAAACCATCAAATAATTATATTCGATAATTTAAAATTATCGAATATTGCGATTTAGGTTAATTGTTGCCACTTTTCCGCATTTTTAATTATGCTACATTATTAGGAGACTATATAATTAATGGAATAAGTTAATTTGTTACCTCTGATTTTAAATATTTTGAAAATTATAATAAAAACTAGTTTTTAACTTTCATACAAAATAATTAATTATTATTATTTTAGTTTATTCATGAATTATCTATTAAATACATTTTATTACCTATTTTATATTAATAATTTTATATTAATTATAATTTCACATAAATTTTATATAAATTATTACCTATTTTATATTGTTTTATTAGTACAATAAAAATATGTTTTATTTCATCATTATGTTTACTTCTATTCATCTGATAAGCTTTGTATCCTTTTTTTCTAAGGGGACGCAATAAAGATTTTAAAATAAAATATACTTTTTTAATATAAAAACAATTAACTGCAGCTTAAAAAAACTCATTTTTATTGCGCATTTTAGGTAAAATTTTATATAGCCACAACAACCCGCCATTGCATGTTTGTGTGTCTATCTTTATCTAATCTTAGCGACGATATTGTTTTCGCAACTTGTGTAAGTGAGATAGATATATGTTTATTTAAAATTGTTATTAATTTCAAAGCTACGTCGTCGCGTTTGGATAGTGGTTACACTTTTTTCGACGCGCAGTAATGTGGTTTGCTCCTCTAGTGTTGTATAACTCAATGCATGAAATGGAATAAAATAAAAAAGGCATTTTAATCGTAGAATTACTAATAATATAATAATAATAATAATAATAAACATTTGATGTCACCGAACTCGAACGGCTAAGACGTGAGGCTGTTCCTTCATCGGGTGAAAATACTGCGGCTGAGGATGCGGCGCCACAACTTGCTGAGCAACCCGCACATGTGGATGCCGCCGTGAATACGCCAGTGGTGGCTGATTCAAATGATGATGGAACATTCGCCCAGGAACTGGAAATAGAGTAAATGAGGAGTACATTGGAAGAGACGATTGTGGAAACGCGCAGTACGCCTCTCGAAAATCGACCGCGACTTGCCCGCTTAGCCCTAAGCAAGCGGAATCGGGCTGTCGTGAGGGCTCTGAACCCAATGCTGGTGACCTATTTGGAAGCCAGCCGGGACCTTTGCGAGACGGACTCAATTCTCTTTGGCGCCGCACTGGCAGTCTGCCGTATTATAGGCGCCAAACTTTCCACGGCTGGACGCGCTACTGGACAAAGTAGTGCTATCCCAGCCTGGAGAATAAGAATTGAAGAACGTATCGCAAAGGCTAGGGCCTTCATCGGCAGACTGATATGCTTCAGGTCAGGCAATACCAAGCCAAGGATTGTGCGCACCGTCAGGATGGCGTTTGCTGGGACAAGTGTTAGTTTGTCCCAGCCGGATATAATGCAAAAACTGACGGAGCGCATAGACGACCTGAAGCAAAGAATCGCTGCTTGGGGAAAGCGGATTCGGCGATATACCGGGAGGTTGACACGGTTCAACCAGAATCGTCTCTTCCAGAGTGATCAGAAGAGGCTCTATAAATCATTGGAGCGACCAATGGTAAGTGGAACGGGCCCAGTACCGAATCAGGCCGACACGGTCGCATTCTGGCGCAGCCTGTGGTCAGAGCCCGTAAACCACAACGAGGGCCCTTGGACGGAAGTTGTGGCGAGTCAGTGTGTGGGTATTACGCCCATGGACCCCGTCACCATAACGCCGGATGACGTAGCTGAGGCGGTCCGTAGGGCCCCGAACTGGAAAAGTCCGGGACTCGACGGGCTGCATCACTACTGGCTGAAGGGGTTCGTGGTGTGTCACGCTGTGCTCGCCCGACAGTTTCAAGAGGTTCTCAACCAGAAGTCGCTCCCGAGCCTCTTCACTACTGGGATCATCCATTTGGTTCCCAAAGACCAGGGTGCCACAGACCCGAGCAAATACCGCCCCATCACGTGTCTACCGACCATATACAAGACACTAACATCCATTTTGAGCGCGAGAATCGCTCGTCACCTGGACTCAAATCAGGTGATGTCGCGCGCTCAAAATGGATGTCGGGGTCGGCGGTCGTGGAACCAAGGAACCACTCCTCATTGACGCGGTCATTGGCAAAGTGGTGAAACGCAACTGTCGGAACTTCTCCGCCGCCTGGATAGACTACAGAAAGGTATTTGACTCGGTGCCCCATACATGGCTAAAGAGGGTCCTCGAGCTGTACAAGATAGACTGTACGGTTCGAGACTTCCTCGAGCAGTGTATGGGGCAGTGGAGAACGATCCTCTGTCATCTGGGCGAGCGGACGATGGCTGCGGAGAACCGCATAAGGATAGGAAGGGGTATATTCCAGGGCGACTGTCTGAGTCCAATCTGGTTCTGCCTCTCTCTGAACCCTCTCAGTACTTTACTGGAGGGCTCCGGGAGGGGATTTCAGCTTCGGAAAGGAGGTACAAAAGTGACCCACCTTTTCTATATGGATGAACTCAAGTTATTCGCCTCCAGTCGCTCCCATCTTATGGAATTGCTAAACATCACTTGTGAATTTAGTAATTCTATTGGAATGGAGCTGTGGACGGATAAGTGTGCGGTCCTCCATGTTGAAGGGGGAAGGGTTGCTAACTTTGTGGGTATAGACTTATCTATGCCCGTCAACTTAAGGGCCCTTTCCGAGGCTGAAACATACCGATACCTGGGTATGTCACAGAACATCGGTATCGATGAAGCTGGAATGAAACAGTCAGTTTGCGACGTGTTTTATGCACGCTTGACCAAAGTGCTTAACAGCTTTTTGTCCGGTATGAATAAGACACATGCATATAACGGTTGGGTCATGCCTGTCCTCATGTATACCTTTGGCATACTCAGGTGGAGTCAGACTGAACTTAACGCCCTGGATAGAAAAGTCCGCACTACAATGACGTCCCATAGGATGCATCATCCGAGATCGTCGGTAATGAGGCTGTATTTGCCGCGAGAGCATGGTGGGCGTGGCTTCCTGAGCGCGCTCACCATGCATAATCGCGAAGTGTGCAGCCTCCGTTATTACTTCCTGGCGAGATCGGATGATCCATTCTATAATGACGTCATTTCTAGTGATAAAGGACTTACCCCTCTAGTAGTCCTTAGCCAACGAGCAATGGCAAGACCCGGCAGTACAGAGCACTTCCGACCGGGAGACCGTATGGAAGGAGAAGGAGCTCCACGGGAGGTACTACAGGGCTCTACATGAGCCTCACGTAGATAGAGCCGCCTCCCTCAACTGGCTACGTTTCGGTGACCTCTTCGGGGAAACCGAGGGTTTTGTCTGTGCAATACAGGATCAGGTTATTAAGACCAACAACTATCGGAGATACATCCTAAAGGATGGCACTGTCGACGTCTGTCGAGCTTGTCGCCATCCCGGGGAGTCGCTTAGGCATGTCATCTCCGGTTGTTCGGCGCTTTCTAACTCTGAGTACTTGCACAGGCACAACCTAGTAGCCAGAATTCTACACCAGGAGCTCGCTCTGAAATACGGTCTCGTGGACCGAAAATTGCCGTATTACAAGTACTTGCCGGAAGCCGTGCTTGAAAATGACCGCGCCAGGCTTACTGGGACCGGGCCATGATCACAGACAGGACTATTCTTGCGAATAAGCCTGATATTGTGCTGATGGACCGGGCACAGTCAAGGATATTTTTGATTGACATTACCATTCCGTATGACTAGAACCTCGTGAAAGCCGAAACAGAGAAACGAAGAAAATATCTGGACCTGGCTCACGAGGTGACCGACATGTGGGGTGGTATGACGACCGAAATTATTCCTGTAGTCGTCTCTGCGAATGGGCTAATCCCAGTCAGCCTCTCGGGTCATCTGAGGCGACTGGGACTCCGTGACGGACCGCTCCGGGCTCAAATGCAGAAGGCGGTGCTCCTCGATAACCGTGCATCGTCCGCCGGTTTCTTTCCCTTTCCCCCTAACCCTCGGCCGTTTGGTCTCCCCTGCCGAGGGCTCCCATCTGGTTGGGTCTTATTTATTTATGTAGTTTTTGTATTTATTTTATTTTATTGATATTTATGTACATTTATCTTTTCATTTTAATTTATAATTATATATTTATAGAACCCAACCAGGTGAGAAAATTATATAGATACCCCAATAATAATAATAAGAAGTTCTTTATTTCCAAGAGGTTGTACATGGACATTATTTGAAGTACATATACTTGAAAACATAGCATCTGCAGCCGAACTAGGAGACCTGTGCATCAGCTGTCAGCGCCATATCCCCACCGTTAATTTATAGAAATATTAGGATGCAAGCAAAACTTAAATAATCAAATACTATCTAAAAATTTGTACATTCCGCTAATATAACCTAAGTTACAATGAAATTAATTGTATCACATATTATGTTTATATACTATGTTACCACTTTTTACTAATACCAGGGTACAAACAAAATAATAATTTATATTACTAATGCCGTTCCTCTCTCATAAGATGTGTAATGTATGACTGTAAGAAGTAATTGTGTTATGAGTTTAATGTATGTGTGAGCAGTTATGTGAGAGAAGCGTGTAAAATGTGTGTCGTGTGTGTGTGCGTGTGTGTGTGTGTGTGTGTGTGGGTGGTTTGCGCATGTGCGTGTGTATGTGTCCGGTTATTATGATTTTATACGGGTAGCATTACGGGTGACAGTTATATAAGAATTTGTTTAAGTCTGAATACAAAGAAGGTTTTCAGTTTCATTATAAGTTAATTTTTGTAGGTAATTATGTACAGTTTTTTTACAATTTATTTTATTAAGGTGGTAAATGTCCAATGTTTTATTTAGTTTATTATATAAGTGTGGTCCCAAAAATGCAAAGAATTTTCTTATAAAAGTTGTTTTAAAATTGGTTGTATCTACGGAAAATTTCCTGCGTTTATTTAAGTTCGATCGGTTGTATAACAATAAGCTATGTTGTTTCTGAATGATCGTTAATATAAACAGTTGTCTTACTTTAAGGACCTGACAGTTATCATAAAGCTGTGATGTAGGATAAAGAAAAGGTTTAAATGTTGCAACTTTGAGTATAGCACGTTGAGAGATTTCTATCTTTTGTAGCACCGTTTTAGAGGCACCACCCCACGTTGATATGCAGTATGTTATAATAGACTGACGTAAAGCTAAGTAAACTCGTTTTAATATATCTGGATCCATAACGTGTCTAATAGTTTTAAAAATATATATTAATTTATGAATTCTTTTGCTAAGTGTGTTAATATGTTGTTTAAAATTTAAATTACTGTCTATTATAACCCCTAGATATTTAATATATTCAACAGACTCAAGTGAAAGGCAGGAACAGCTGTTATCCCTTGTTAAACAATCATATGAATGAATCACTAATTTAAAATTTTCAAGGTTGCGAATAAGTTTTCTTAATGAATAAACTATATATTTTGTTTTCGTAATATTGATTGAAAGTTTATTACTGTAAAGCCAATTAGTAACTGCATTTATACCTATTTGTGCAGACGAGAATACATCTTTCCACGTATCCGCAGCAAATATCAAAACATTGGCATCTGCATATGAAATTATATGTCCCTGACAGAGATCAAATCTTGTAAAATTATCAATATAAATTAGAAATAAGGTTGGGCAGAGTATACTCCCTTGTGGTACGCCGTGTGTTACTAGTGAATCATTGCTGGTACTATTATTTACACTAACGCATTGATATCTCTCAGAAAGATAGCTTTTGAATAGTTTGAGTTGAGTGCCTCTGATACCGACATTTTCCAGTCTTTTTAATAGTATTTTTATTGATACTGTATCGAATGCTTTCGCCAAATCTAAGAAAACTGAAATACACTTTTTTCCACTGTCTAAATACGATGACAAAAAATTTGTAAGAGTATGAACGGCATGCTCTGTTGATTTGCCATGTCTAAAACCAAACTGTGTATTCGACAATAAATTATTTTTCTCCAGATATTTTGTAAGTCTATTATTTATAATTTTCTCCAAAATTTTGGATAAAGCGGGTAATATAGAGATAGGTCTATAATTACTTACACAGGTTTTTTCGCCATCTTTAAAATAGGTGACGATCTAGGGAATACACCATCATTTAAACATTGATTGAATGTACAAGTTAAAGGAGATATTAATAAATATTTAAATTTTTTAATAAATTTATTCGAAATTCCATCCCAATCAACTGAACAGTCGGTTTTCAAATTGTCAATTAATTTTACTTCACTTTCATCCGTGTCCAATAAAGCAAATGAATTTAAGTAATAGTTTGATTCTTCACCAATGTTATTATTAAAAATTTCACTGTTTTTATTTCCTACCTTAAAACTCTCTGCCAAACTTTTAGCTACATTTACAAAATAATTATTAATAAGGTTAACAGATACTTGCGGCGTACTAGATATATTTAACAGTTCTCTGTTATACCCTTTGTTTTTCATGTTATCTATAATATCAGTAAGTACTTCCCATAGCTTCTTATTATTATTTTTAGCCATATTCACTCGGTTTTTTTTTCATAATTTCTGTTTACATTTTTTAATAATGCGTTACAGTGATTACGATATCGTCGGTATATATTTTGATCACTTTCATTATCTGGAAATCGTCTAGCCCTCTTATGTAGTTTATCACGGTGACGAATACATCTAAGAAGTCCAGTCGTAATCCAAGGTTTGATGATCTTTTTTTGTCTTGGCAACTTTACTAATTTAGTATTAACTTCAATTACTGTTTTTATTTTATTAACTAAGTATTCAAGAGAAGTATTTGTATCTTTAATATTATATATAGGTAAAAAGTCAATGTTTTGCATATCCGAATTAAGTTTATCGTGATCTATTTTTCTGATAGTAGTTGTATAAAACTGTTGACGTTGTTTATTTTTCATACATAAAATTACAGGTTTGTGATCAGTGATTGAAGTTTGAGGAACCATAGTAAGTGAAGGATTATTCGTTTTTAGCAGAGCATGATCAATACACGAACCGCTTGCATCACGTGTTACTAGAGTATGAGTGGGTAATAACCCGTGGAATGCTGTCAGTTGTAAATACTTATCCGAATTAATATCTGTTTTATTGTTAATGTTAATATTTATATCTCCTATTATAATTATGTTTTTATGTTTCGAATATTTCTGTAGTACACTACATTGGAATACATAGCTATTGGAATAATAGCTATATTTTGGCACGATAGAGGGGCTGAGTCAGTATGCTGATTGCAGTAGACTGTGATGGGCTGGAATTTTTGCTGACATCTGTTAGAAATGTTATTTTTGTTCCCCGTATTTATATAAAAAGTAAGCACTGAAATGGCGTAACCCTCCATCCGTCAATCCTTTACAGCCTATGTATATATTTTATATTTTTAGGGGGGATTTTGCCATAGTTGCCACGCTTAGCAGGCGGATGCCACCGCAGTTTTTTATTTTTTGTAGTTGTTATCAGGAAGATGCTGCTACCAGTCTCCTATTGCAGTTGCCCCCTGTCGCCTATTACGACATCTATAGAATGATATGCGATAGTGGATATTCTTACACCGCCACTGCTCAGTTAACCCTCCATAAACTTAATTTAGAACTTCCATTGTTCTTAATGATTTCTTATATTTACGCGAACGCTACACATTTAAATAATACTAATTTTTACGGATTTTATAGCGTATATTAACTTTTTATGTACCCGACGTTCTCTCCTACATAGGACAAACTAAAAGATCAATTAAAACCCGCGTATGATGATGTGAAGAATAAACGCTCCGGGAAGTCTGTAGTCTGTGAATACGTACAAGATCGCCACCGCCACTACATCAAATTTGATGGATCACAAATCCTCGCTAAAGAACACCGATTCCTTCCAAGGATGATTCGCGAGGCTATTGCAATCAAAAAACGTCCCAATTTCAATAGAGAAGAGGGTGCTCTGCTTGGGATCCTATAATTAAATAAAAAAGTTAATATACGCGATAAAATTCGTAAAAATTAGTATTATCCATTGTTCTTATTTATCTTTTAATCTCCAAAGAATTTCAATAAAACATTTTTACATTTTTGATTCTTTAATAATCCTTAAATTAAAATTGGTTATAATCTATTGGTATACCAGTTAAATCATCTAAAGTTAAATCAGATAAGTTATACAAAGTTGGTTTAAAATTTTCACTAGTAACATTAACTGCACATCTTTGGTCACGCCATGTTTCTAAATTAGGCGCAGGGATCGTTGAACAGTCCACGATCTCGTTTCTGGAAATAATAAATATCTAGATGAAGTAAATAAGTACTATGAAATAACGATAAAAAATGTAAACAATGGGTAGTAATAAAACTAAGGACATGAGGATTATGAACTACAAGGAGATTTTGGCAAACAAAAGCCGGTGTTGCCATTATCTATGTTCAGAAATTTGTCTTACATTCAAAGAGCACAAATATAGTACCTACCCATATTGTGTTAAAAATGTATCATATAGGTTATGATTATTAATCATAACCATTGTTACAGGTTAGCAAAGTCCACTTTGAACATAGAACATAAATTTGAAAAATATCTCTGCCATATTTGCACGCTTGGCAGAACCCACGTAAAAGAGCATATATGTTGATGTGAAGCACTGATACTCCGTGAGTGTAGATAACCGGAGATCCGTTTTACTAGAAACGAGGTATTCCATCTTAGTCCTCAAGAGTGACAACGCATTTGAATTTTGATCCTTAATCGAGAATAGATGTAGATGTCTATGGGCTACAGCATCCACTTACCATCAGGTGGACTGTGTGCTCATTTGTCACTCTTAATTGATAAAAAAGCAAAATATGCATTATATTTAACATAAAATAAAAAATACCTGATTCCTGGAAGTAGGAACGCAAATGGCTGAACTGAGTCTACAGAGTCACCATGATCACAAATTATTCTCGCCATTGAGATCTTGCGTATTTCGTATAATTGATCTGCAAATAAATAATAGTTTAAATAAATTATTGGTATTTAACCTATTAAACTTAAAACATATCGCTCATATATATATATATATATATATATATATATATATATATATATATGAGCGATATGTTTTAAGTTCAACGAACCCTGAGAGTGAAGGAGTGAGAGAATAGAGAGTACATCCAGCCCTGTGCAAATGGCCAATTTCCGTTGAGGGAAAACATTAAATAAAAATATGCTATTCTACTCAATTCTATTGTGTTCATTAACAGTTACAAAAATATTTTAGGTTTTTAACCAAAAGTAATCAGATTGTGTCTATTAAATATATATCTAGAGTTTGTAAATAATGTCATAATAAATGAAAAAGAAAAAAGCGTCAGGTATGAAAAGAGGTTTTTCGAGCGCAAGTTTTTGGATTTAAAATCATTTTTTTGTGTAAATGTCAAATTGTTTATTCTTTAGACTGTCTGCTGGGTAAGTGTCCTAAAGACTTTCAATGTGACGCCTCAGCTGAAATGAAAGCAAAAAATAAATAGGACTAGACTGTATGAACATAGATCCCTGTGTCTTTAATAAATAAAAATATTTACAAATGTGTTCTAAATAGGGATGTCGATTCTTTCCGGAAAAGATCGATTCTTAAATCAATTTGAATCGAAATGTGATGAATCGATTCACAAAAAAAAATCAAGGTCTAAAAGATAAATTTCTCAAAATTCGATCTTTTTTCGATGTACTTCCATATTTGTACAAAGTACAGATTACAAACGTAACTAATTTTTCATTTCTTTAATCCAATAAGAAGAGGCGAAAGAAACTGAGCACACAGCAGTTTTGCTAGTTTTCGAATAGAAGTATTGTCGTTCTTTACGAGTTTGGGTACATTCAACTAATTAACAATTTTAAAGTTCTTATGAAAACAGAAAAGGATTCGATTTTCTAGGGTGAAATATCGATTCACTGGATCGATTCAGTACTATATATCGATTTAAAAAATCGATACTATCGGCTCAAGAAATCGATTCTTCAATGAATTGATTTCAGATCGAAATACCTATTATAGTTCTAAAACTTACATAAAATAACTAACTTGGTGTTAGCTTGCTACATATTTATTTGTCTATGGGTTTGACTTACCCGGTGTAAACGCTCCAGGGTGTATGGAGTTCTCATACCAAAACCTGTCAGCTCTTCGCCAACGCAGCAGTTGGTCCGCCATGATGCAGGCGAGAGTTGGTCCCATGATGGCCCCATGCATCGGCTTCTCGGCTAGGATTCCCGCCATCAAGTCTAAATCGTCGATGTATTCGTAGGTCCTTGCAAGGACGTCCACTTGCTGCAACATTTTTTTACCGTTACCGTTAGAGCTTATTAAAGTCCACTACTGAACATAAGGTCTCCTTCATAGATTCACTCGTAGGGGGCATATTTGCCATAGTTTTAATGTTACTGTTGATTTAATAATTTCGTCTCTCAGTGGGTCATGTGCACCTGGCAAATTGTCTTCTACACATCCATCCCCTACAGCCTATTAAAGTCCACTGCTGATCATAATGTCTCCTCCATAGATTGACTACTATTTGGCATGATTGTAATGTTACTGTTGAATTAATAATTTCACCTCTCAGTGGGTCATGTGCTCCTGGTAGATTATCTTCTACATAGTTGTAATGTTACTGTTGAATTAATAATTTCACCTCTCAGTGGGTCATGTGCACCTGGTAGGTTATCTTCTACACATCCATCCCTTACAGCCTAGCTAATAAGGTCTGCCACATAGATTAACTCATTGGGGGCATATTTGCCACAGTTGCCACTCTTGGCTTGCGGGTCGGCAATCGGAGCTTTAAATATTTGTTTCACCTCTTCGGAGAGGAACTTTTTCTTTAATTTTTTTATTGAGACCACCGTAAGTGTAAGTCGATTTCTTATCCTTTTACTTTTTTTAAACGCGCCTTTCCCTCCCCTTATAAGGAAATCTATGAGGGAGGCCTATATTCAGCAGTGGAAGAGAATAGAATAATTTTTTATTCAATATAGATTACAAGTAATTCTTATTGAAAGTCAATATTTTACGTTACCACTGGTTCGAAAAAAAAAACAACTCTGTCCTGGGAAGAACCAGCAAGAAACCCAGTGGGACTTTTTTTGTTAAATAAATTTTACAATGTCAATGGCCACAAAATATTTACAAAATTTATTTTAGAAACAGCTTGGAAGCGACCATCTCGTTCCCAGGGGTTATTATCAACTATATATTCATTTATATCATAACAGCCCTTTTTATAGAGTTTTATATTTAAACTTGGTAATAGAGAGACCTTGTGGATTTTTGATAGGATTTATATATAGAGAATATCAATTGTTAACATAGGTCTAGTGGACTATCCTTAGTTAATGTAAAGGATATCCATAATGGGATAAAAAAATTGCACGGCAACTTGTCAGCTACCGAAGATTAGTCTACTCGTTATGGAGTTTTGGTCAATCCCGTGAAATGTCAAGCTATACTTGCGGGTAGCTCAAAGATGCTAGCCAAGATTAATCTTGCAGACTCACTTCCTGTTTATTACAATGGTATTACAATTCCGTTCAGTAAGTCTGTAAAAAATCTTGGCCTACACACATTGAGAGCACGCTGAATTGGAGAACTCAGGTTTTAGAAGTGAGTCGTAAAGTCATTGCCACGACGTTCTCTGTATCGTTTAAAACATTTTCTTTCCACAAAGTCTAAGATCATGCATGTCCAATCGCTTATATTACCCATAATTGTTATGTAGATCTGTATCATTCGGATCTGAATCTATGTCGTGAGGGTGTCGTAAGAGGCAACAGGGGGAAATTAAAACAGGAGATGGGCAGCCGCATCTTCCTGATAACAACTTGAAACAATAAAAACCCCCAATACGAAATCTGTGAACGAAACCCATGTTCAGCAGACAGCAGATGACTTTTATAAGCTCTAGGTCTTTTGTCTAAAAATACTCGCACAAAAATATCATCCTAAAATTAAGGTTGTATAACTTACATCTTTCGGCATCCAGTTGTACAGATCGTCGAAGGTCTTGGCCACAGGTAGTCCACAGTACTGCCTATACTTGTTGTAGGATGGCAGACCCATGTCCCGGCCCTTATTTATGTCGCTTGCAGTTACGTCTGACGCGAACTGGAGTGGACCTAGAATTCTTTCTCCGACCTGAGAACAAACCATTTTGTAATCGAAGTATCAACTTCAAGAAAAAAAAATGTTTTTTATAGGATAGGGTGGCAAACGAGCACACAGTCCACCTGATGGTACTCGTAAGTGGTTGCTGTGGCCCATAGACATCTACATCTATCCTCGATTGCGAATCAAAATGCAGATGCGTCGTCACCGGTAAGGACTAAGATGTAATGCCTCGTTTCCAGTAAAAAGGGTCTCCGGTTGTCTAGACTCACCATACGAAATACAGCAGCATTAAGCTACTATTTCACGCTGGTATTCTGTGAGTGATGCTGGGATTCTGGTGTGTGTGGTATTTATGTATTTTTGCTAAAGTCAAATATTTTTATTGAAATCTGACACAAAGAACTTTTTAAAAGTCAAGAAAGTTAATTATACGAGGTAAAGACACGCTACAGCTATATTATGGTTATATCACGAATGGGTCGACAGTAGAATAATGCTGCTGTGTTTTGTATGGTGAGTGTAGAGAACTGGAGACCCTTTTTACTGAAAACGAGGCATTCTACCTTAGCCCTAAAGGGTGACAACGCATCTGCATTTTAATTCTTATTCTGGGATATATGTAGATGTCTACGGACCACAGCGTACATTTACCATCAGGCGAACCGTGTACTAGCTTGCCACCCTTATTTTATATAAAAAAATTACGTTAAATTAAAATATGGTAAAAATGGCTAAAGTCAAATTAGACATTTAATTGTACGAAATAAATTTATTGTAAATTAAAATATATTTAAAAAAAGTCCCGCTGGACTTATTGCTGGTTCTTCCCAGGACAGAGGTTTTTTGCGAACCAGTGGTAAATGGTAAATAAAAAAATGACTTTCAATAAGTATTATACAATAATCTATATTGAATAAAATCATTCATTTCATTTCGTATGGGCATCCACTGACCGTGGATTGTGTGCTGGTTTGTCACCCTTATTCTTAAAAAAAAATAAGATTGCGTTGATCTGATACGTTGATAAGATTGCGTGGTCCGTGTGCTCCAGTTATCACCAGGTCAGTTCGTTTGTCAATATTATTATTAAAAAAAACGCGATAGAAGTTAAACTTTAAAATGAAATCAAATATAAAAAAATATAAAAGAAAATATTGCATGGCAAATTATTTATTTAATATGATAATTTTCAACCACAAGTGCGGCACAAAATACATATAAGATGAATCTTCTGTTTAAACTCGTAGGGCTTAAATTTTCGTGTAATAAATCAATTGAATATTATTTTCTTTCGATTAAAATTGCTTTATAATAGCGCCATCTACATAGTTATATAGGTAAAATCATTTTATCGAACAAAAATTCACAAGGTACGTAAAATAGATGCTAGATGAATAAAACACGATTAATTTGAGATAATAGTGTTTTGTGATCATTCTCTCGCGGTCTAAATCCTATAGATGTATATGTTTGTTTCTTTTTGTGTTGTTACTTCATAATACATAATATAACAAACATAAACACTCACGCCTGTCACACAAAGGGGTAGGCAGAGATTACGGACTTCCATTTGGCACGATCCTGACATACCTCTTTCGCCTCCTTTACATCCATATATCTACGCATACATGCTCGTCGGTTAAGGGTAATTCTAATGTGGCCCATTTTCAAAATATCGCCAATTTGGTCGATAAACTTTCTTCTAGGGCGTCCTTTCCCGACTCTGCCGTTCACATCTGCCATATAAATTTGCTATGTTACTCTTTCTTTATTCATTCTTTCTACATGACCAAACCACCGAAGCATTCCTGTCTTAATCCTGGTCACCACATCGTCTTGCATACCTACCACATTTATCTCTTATCACGCAATTTCTCACCCTGTCATTCGAATTCAACCCTAGCATACTCCTTAAAGACCGCATTTCTACAGCATTTATCCTACTTTCGTGCTTCTTCTGCCACACCCAACTTTCACCACCATACATTAAAGTAGGGATTACAGCATTATGAATTACCATTCGTGCCTTTTTTGACACATTCTGGTTCTTCATAATAGAGTGGAGTGCCCCGTTCACTTTATTCCCTGCATTCTTTCGTTTTTACGGTACTTCATTTCATCGAATTTCAAATCATAAAGATTCTAAAGGAGTTTCTATTAGGTATTATTAGGCTATAAAGTATTTGACTGACTTACATCTGGATCGACGAGGTAATCGACGTCAGCGCAGGGCTGTCTGAACGAACCCTGGGTGGCACCTTCGAATGTATTGTTGATCATCATGCCTCCGGGTCGGAGCGAATAATCCACCATAGCCAACTCATCCAGCAATCTTCCTTCTTTGCTGTATAGCCTGAATCATACTATTTAATTAGTTTTGAGTGAAAAATGCATGATTTCTTTTGGTAAAAATCCTATTATTCAATTGGTTCATCATCATCACCGTTACATCCCCTTACAAGTCTACTGCTGAACATAGGCCTCCCCCGATGAATTTTCTGAGCTACCTGTATCTATCAACCTCCTGCATGTCTTACCAGGTTGCATGTCTTACCAGGTACGAGGCTGCCACTCGAGAACCTTTCTTCCCCATCGGTTGTCATTTCTTCGAGCTATATAGCCGGCCCATTGCCACTTCAGCTTACTAATCCGTTGGGCTATGTAAGTTAATATTTATTGTTTATATAATTAGTTTATATATATATATTTTATATATATCAGAATCTCTGCATTAGCCGAGATGGATTGTCAAAGACCCCGCATTACCGACACTCGTGTGAGTTACAGATATTAAAACCACATATAATTTGCAAATAAATTTTTTTTATCAAATATAATTTTTTTAAATGTGTTTTTTTGAAAAAAAAAATTATTTCTATATGTTTGGATACTGATTCTGATAACACATTTAACGGGAACCACAGGATTTTTGTTACATATTGTATATATATATACATATATATATATATATATATATATATATATATATATATATATATATATATATATATGCGAATAAATGGCCACACAAGCATTTGTTCCAGGCGGGATTCAAACCCGCGGCCTCCAGCGTCGCCACTCTTTGCTAAACCACTGCGCCACGGACCCGTCATCATTTTAAATACTTAAACTTTACTAATTAATATAGGTATAATGAATTCACATCGACCATTTTATATAAAATTCTCATGATTTCCTCATTGGTTTAGTGGTGGTAACCGCTTTTGCTGATTATTAGGTTTCTCTATCGAAAACTTCTCAGTAACAGCCCGGAGTCAGGAAGTAGGCGGTGTCTCACCCCCGTGCCTCAGAAAGCACGTAAAGCCGTTGGTCCTGCGCCTGATCTCTCTCCGGTCGTGTAGTGAATAGAGAGTGCACATGTGCTTGCGCATACACTTGGATATTAGGTACAATTCTCCCCTGTGCAGATGGCTAATCTCCGTGGAGACTATCAAGTATTTAACGCTAAGTTGAAATATACGTACTGGAGGCGTCCCTCCTGGATCGAGTGGAACCATCTGGTCCCCATCACGTACTCTATGCTGACTCGCGGCTCCAGGCTATCGTCGTAGTCGTCGACGTGACCATAAGTGTTGTAGATGATATTGTTCCTTAGGAGGAATTCATGACCTGTTGAATTTTTATTTTATTTTTATTAAGAAAGGAAGAAAGTAAGATGTTTTAAGTGATAGAGCCACACTGCAGCCGTCCGTGGAGTTTTTATATGTTTTGTTTTTATTTTAATTTTTTAAATAATTGTAAAGAATAAAAAAGACAGATATCACAAATATTGGAGAAACAAGAGAATGTTTTTCTGTAAATGTATATAATATAGCGTTTTTACCTTAAATTGTATCACTTCATTTAATTTGATTATCCAAGTACGATCTAATAATTTATATATTATGAAGACAAAGATTTTTATTTAAAAACTGCATCCTGACTACCACGCGTTCTGCGCGTGTACATTGGTGACCCTGCGACGTGATTATCCAATGAAGAAGTAATATGAAGAAGTAAGCTTTGGACAAGCCAAAACAAATTGTAATTGCCGAGAGAACTTGCAACGAGAGCCAGCTGCACAGCAACAAAATCTAGTTGTTTAAATCTGTTGCGTGAAATGTTGAGTATGTGAATGAGTAACGGGGGGTGGATCAGGAGAGAGAAGGAAGAGGTAATGGGAAGTGACCACTCTCTATAACACTTTTATAACCTACTTACCCCGTGCGTCCTTCTAATTTGGGGGCCTTATATATCGCAGTGAACCTAATTTTCATGTCTTATTTATCTAGGCCGTTCATTGCATAAATAAAAGTTTCATCGGTAAATTACAACAAAATTGTTCAAGGCCAATTAATTTATTATTACTTATCTAAAACTAAATCTACCTAAACTTTCTTTATGCACACGTGGCGTACCTTGCAAAGAATTGTAAATCACCATAAAATTTGGTTAATTTATACTAATATTTCATAAGATAATATTTTATTTTATATATCAATTTGAATTTTAGGCCCCCAAATACTTTTTCCATATCCTATAACTTTAAACGAGCAATTCTTATATATATATATATATATATATATATATATATATATATATATATATATATATATATATATATATATATATATATATATATATATACGGCTGCAACGATTTTCATAAAATTTTGCGTGCAGGGAGTTTCAGGGGCAAGAAATCGATCTAGCTAGGATTTATTTTTAGAAAATGTCTTTTTGACCGTGTTTTTAGGCAATGAAAAACTGCTACAATATCGTTAGAATAAGAAGTTAATTTTGACAGTTTAATAATGATTACAGATAGCTTAATTGGTATATTGGGCGGTCTCAAAATCGTAATACCATGATTCGAGCCCAGACAGACCGACCGACTTTTTTCATTTTTTTCAAGTTCATTTCTTTTTTTGAGAAAATCAATTTTTTCGTGCCCTTTTTTTTCGTATTTTTTAAAAACACGAAAATTTAAATTAAACTAATTGCACTCATGATTTTTTATTCAAATAACCAGTTCGGTTTTTTCTATTATGTCTATATTATGTCTATGTATGTAAAAAATATTATTCGTATTTCATCAGTATGTAATTTCTATCTAAATATAATTTACAAAACACACGAATTAAAAAAAATACCGAGCGAAAAATACCGAGCGAAAAATACCGAGCAAAGCTCAGTCAACCGGGTACTAAGCTACTTAAACTTCTAATTTGCACTTACTACTACTACCTGCCCGTTGCTGCAGGGGACTGTCTCCTGCTGCAGCACTGCTCTTCTCTTCACGTCCTCCGACAGTGGACCGCTGCTGTGCCGCGCTTAAGTCGCAAGTTACGTTTATTTTATGCCTTTAATTTGCAAGTCATCGTAGCAAATTCTTAAGAATTTCAACTTTTCATACTAAGTTACTGATATTTTAATAATTTTACGGATTAAGCATTTACCTATCTTGATTTTTAATTTATTTTCTTCATTTCTCTTCACAACAAATATGGATGAGCTCATGACTAAACGTGCTAACGTTGAGCAAAGAGTAAAGTTATTTAAAATTTTTGTAAATGATTTAATTGAAGTTAAGAATCCTACACAAAATCAAATTACTGAGCTCTCTGTACGTTTAGAAAAATTTGAAGGTTTATTTGAATATTTTAATGACTTGCAGACGGAAATTGAGGTTCGTGATACCTCCCAGTTTGAAGTAAGGGAGGAAATGGAACGTAGCTTTTATACGCCTATGACATTGGCTAAGGATTTATTATCATCCTTTAAAAAAGGATAGGAAGCCAGCCTAATCTTAAGATTCAGCCAGGGTTTCGCTTACCAGAAATTACAATTGCCCATTTTGATGGCAGCTATTATAAATGGCTTGAATTTAAGGAAATGTATGTCTCCTTAATACATGATAATGAAGCTATAAATTCTATACATAAATTTCACTATCTGTCATCTTACCTGCAAGGTGAGGCAGCCCAAGTTATTAGTAATTTGGAAGTAACTGAATGTAACTGCCATTTGGCTTGGGCCCTCCTCTGCGAGAGATATGACAATAAAAAACAGCTGGTCTCACAACACATCAATGCACTATTTAATATGTTTCCTATTTCTCAGACAGCTAGGTCTTTGCGTAACACTGTAGATCATATTTCAAAAAATCTTAGAGCACTTAACACTTTAGGTGTTCCCACTACTAATTGGGATCCAATAATCATTCATATGATTGTCCCTAAGCTTGATTGCAATTCTAGACTAAAGTGGGAAGAATATAAATCTTCATTAAATTGTGATTTACCTTCGTTAGATAATTTATTTAAATTTTTGAAGGCTCGAGCTGATATTCTCGAAAGTGTGAATAATAATGAACAGGAAAAAGGCGAAACATTCAACAATTTTAAGCAACAGAAATTACCCGTAAAATCTCATGCTATTTCAATGGAAACCAGCTCGTCTATGTGTGATGTCTCGTCATCTACTGCGAGCGCTGCCAGGAGAGCGGCGGGTGCGGCGGCGTCGTGCGTATTCTGCGGCGGGCCGCACCGCGTCTACGGCTGCTCTTCTTTCTTGTCCAAATCTATCGAGGAGCGTATCACCAAGGCGGCCAGGTTGAAACTTACCGGGTTGAAACCTACGGCACTTAGCCAATGACGCACAACTGACTCAGTGCCTGAGCCTTTGACGCTCTGCTGCCGGGCACATGTTGGTGCCCGGCAGCAGAGCGCTGGGTGACGTCGTCTGCACCGCCCGGCGCAACCCTGCCGCCGCTCCGAGAGAGCAGTCCGCAGACACCGCGCCGTAGTTTTAAGTTTTCATTTTTGGAGCCCGGTAGAAGAGCGCTGGGTGTAAGCTGCATCGCCCGAGCGCGATCCTGCCGTCGCTCTCAGAGAGCAGTCTGCAGACTGCCCGCCGTAGTCTTAAGTTTTTTTCTTTATACATTGGATTACAATTGCTTAAAACGATAATTTTGTAGAGACTAACGTTACATATTAATTACATGCAAACTGAGTAGATAATTAAGAATTCACTTAAGAAGAATACAATCACTTAGTGGATCAGATAAACGTATAAACTCGTTCATCAATATCCGAAGTTTGAACTTCGGAACGTACCCTCATCCGAAGGTTGAAATTATGCTTAAATTGCCTACGTAAGGGACACCCTACGCGGCTATGCAGGTTAGGCCCTTGTTTTACTTGCAAGCGGCGACACAATACGCTTTTACATCGCGAGGTTCCTCAGGCAAGCAATGCGTCCGTAAATATGACTGCTAATGAGACTGAGCCAGCAAATGAAGCTCCTGAGGTCATTGACACTACAGTCAATGTATCGGTACAGTCAGTCTCCAGTAACAACCACGTCTTGCTATCCACTGCCCTTGTAGATGTGTACAATCCCATTACTAACAAGTATGAGACGGCGCGCGCCTTATTAGACAGTGGCAGTCAGGCTTCCATACTAACTCAAAATTTGAAACGCAAACTTTGCTTGTCCACTGAACAAATAAACACAAATATAATAGGCGTAGGTGATAAACAACTTACCTCAGGCGTCAAGCTTTGCTCCGTCCGCATTAAGTGTGAATCTACTAACTACACGCTTACCTTATGTTGCTTAGTGCTACCTAAAATATCTGGCGATCTACCTCATGTCCAACTTGATATATCTCAATTAATCTTACCTATGAACCTTGCCGATCCTTGCCTTGCCGAACTTCTTTCAGCTTGCTCCTGTAGATCTGCTTATTGGAGCTGATGTATTTTGGCAATTAATATTAGGCCAACAGATCACTCTAGGCAGTAACAAACCTATAGTCACAGATACAAGGTTTGGTTGGATATTATCTGGCCCAATTTCTTCAAAGTCTGTTAGCAAGACTAATGTTCATGGCGTTTTATGTACTCATTTGTCCCTTGAAGAGCAAATCACAAAATTTTGGCAGGTTGAGGATATCCCTGAATCTAATAAGATATTGTCCAATTTTTCTATGGAGTTTGAGAAGCACTTTTTAGAAAATACTCGTCGCATGGACGACGGTAGGTTTTTTGTTCGATTACCACTTATTTCTGAACCTGATTGTTTAGGCGATTCTTATCAGTTAGCTAAAAGCTCCTAGGGTTAGAAAGACGTTTTAGAAAAAATCTAGATTTAAAATTAATGTATTCTGATTTTAAACGTCAATACGAGTATTCAGATCTTGGACGTCTTTCAGAAGCTACCGAGGTTATTTCATCTCCAGCTTATTTTATCCCGCACCATGCGGTGATAAAACCAGACAGCGAGTCGACAAAACTTCGCGTTGTCTTCGACGGCAGCGCCCCCCTCTACCTCAGGCTTCTCTATTAATGACCTCCAAATGGTGGGGCCTCCTATTCAGGATTCCTTATTTAATATTATACTCAGATTTCGTCTTTATAAATATGTACTCTCCGGAGACATAGAAAAAATGTACCGACAAGTTTTAATTGAACCCGAGATCGTAATTTACAGTTAATTTTATGGCGCGAAAATGACAGAGAGCCCATACGAATCTTACGTCTTAATACAGTGACCTACGGTTTCGCGAGCGCAAGCTTTCTAAGTACCCGCTGTCTGCAGCTAGGAGAGGAATGTCAGGATGATAAA